AATTGCTGATTGAGTTTGGGTAGTAGAGGAAAGGTAAACAATGACAATGAGGTGGTAAATACAAATACACACACACACACACACACACACACACACACACACAAACATTTCTCCCCCTCATGTGTCTTCTAAAAGGCGTAATCATCCCTGGGAACAACTTGTCCTATTCTTCCTCAAGAGTTAGGCTTCTCTGTCCAGCCCCTTATGATTCTAAATAAGCATCAACTTGCTGACTCCAATAGCTCATACTAATTCTCTTGTGACAGCTGCTTGCTAAACTTTGCAAACTGCACTTAATTATCTGTAGGTGACAGTATTCATGGGTATTATTTAAAAGCAGTGACTCTTAGCTGTTATTTTTGAAACAACACTCTTAGAATTGATGTAAGCTATACACCTTCTTGAAAATGCTCATAAATTCAGACATCATACAAACAAATTAAGGGTATGAAACTCATGCATGGACCCCAAGTTAATATCCTCTCTGTTAACACAATGCATCATTTCTTATTCTCTTTCTAACTTCAGCCAATCTATAATTAAGAAACAGTCCTGTATACCAATATCTTTAGGCTTTTTAACTAAAGGAAAGTGGGGCCTACAGCTACCCTTTTAGACTTGTATTTTGCTTCCTCAGACAGCATTACCCCCATGTCTCCAATGGGAGAGCAGGTAAATTCAGATAGCATGCACATGAGAGTTATAGGTCATCTTGAGTTAACTTGCCTGATGGTGAATTGTATTGAGTCAGTTGAAATGAGTAGGTGAAAACATTAAAAAATTAAAGGTGGTTCTGCCAAAAAACCCTTTTGTTTAGTATTTGACAATAATAACCACCTTCCACTCTCCTTTTTGCACACACTTTCTCTGGATTCTGCATTTTTCTCTGTCATCCTCCTCCTCAGTCTTCTTTATGGACTCGACAGTCACTCTGAGTCATCGGTTGGACAATGGAATTTATTTTTTCCCTCCCAAATCAGTCTTCCTGCCTTTCTTTACTTGGCAAAGATCATTATGACCCAATTAGTCTCTCAAAACAGAACCTCAGCCTCATTTCAGATGTTTCCTTACTACACATATTTACTTTAATCATGTCCCTGAAAATATATTGAATGCCCTGAAATATATTGATTTTAGCCTGCCCATCACAGCCAATAGGTCTCCTAACAATGATATAGGGAAATTGAAATTCCCAACCTATTACATGTCCAGTACGAGCTTGTGTTCTCTAAAATTGAATGAATTTTAGGAACAATGGAGGTTAAGCACAGAATATATTTATTGGGAGAAAGAAAGCTTCTGTCTGAGAGACAGAAGGAATCCCGAGTATGTTGCCAAAGACTGTCTTTTTAGGGACTTTTATAGAGCAAAACCACAAGGTGAGATGAGTCCAAGGTGGGGAAAACATGGAAACATGCATGGTGGGCACGAGGTGAGACAGAACTATACTCAACCGATAAGATTAATTGCTTGGGTAAAATTGACTAAATCAGGAACAAATGGGGAAGTGAGTCATGTAGCAAGTGGGCATGCTTAAAGAGCAGGGACTCTTCCCATAGAGAGTTGGAATGGTGACTCCTGGCTTCCTCGGGATGATAGAGACCTATTTAGAATATCCTAGGATGTGGGTACACTTGTTTGATCTTTTGTCTTGAGGCCTGGCCCACAGTGGGAGGTATCTGTCTCCTCCCAATTTTGCAAGGTATCTGGTTTTCTGCACTGGCTCCTTCAAGAACCTATCCCTGTCTGACTGCCTATAATATTTTTATCTAACTCAGTTGCCTGTAACAAGACTTGTGCTCCTTTAATCCATCCTCTACATTGCTTCAAAAGTGCTCAACATGAAAACTGACTTTTGTCATTCACAGGCTCAAGGATATCGCCCTTCATATCACCCTTAAGGCAAGCCACCATCATCTGTTGCATGCATTAATTCATCTTTCTACTTACACCCTAGGCATCCCTGCATTTCTATTCCTGTTACCAACCTGGTAGCTAGGATGATCCTGCTAAAATGAAAGCCTGATCAAAGTCTTTGGTGACTTCCTATTTCATGTGGAGTAAAATCTAAAGTCTTTACCTAACACATCATGGCCCAGTCTGCTCTCCTTATTCCATTAATTTGGAATTATGTTCAAGAGTGCAGACTTCTGAGCAATGCTATTGGATTCAAATTCCGGCTTTAATTTTACCAGCTATATAACTTAGGGTAAGCGACTTAAAGTCCCTGTGCTTCTGTTTCCTAACCTGCGGAATGGAGATAACCATACCTGCTTCACAGTGTTGCTTTCAGAATTCAATGAATCGGTGTATATAAAGTACCTAGAATAGTGCTTTGCCTTCTCCTCTCCAGCCACACTGGTTTTCTTACTATCTCTTAAACATAGTCCTGTTGCAGGATATGTGTACTTAATGTTCCCTCTGCCTGTAATACTTTTCTCCCAGATATTCCTGTGGTTTGGTCCCTCTTCTTGCATATCTCTGCCTCAGATCACTTTGAAAGGCTGCCTTTTAATTTCCATGCTCCCTTTGTAAAATAGTAACATCTCACTAATCTATCCCTTTTTCCTACTTCATTTTTTCCTATACCACTTCCCGATATTGTATGTATACTTATATGTTTATTTTCCTTCCCCAACAAGAATATAAGCCCTGTGAGAATAGAAATTTTGCTTGTTCTGATGTATGGTGTTACATCCCCAGCACCTAGAATAGCATCTGACACTTCATAGCTGCTCATTAAAAACTTGTTTCATGAATGAGTAAAAGACAGAAGCAAGAAAACAAAAAGACATAAACACTCTATCAAGATAATGTGACAATTAAAATATAAGTGCTATCTGGATAAAGGTAAGAATATTCTAATAGTATAGACAGGAACTAAAGGAAAAGAAAGTTATCTCCTATCTTCATCTATTTCCCAGAGGTAACAACACACTTGCAGGGCTGGAGATTTAGTTCAGTGGCATAAGCACCTGCCCAGCAAGTGTGCGGTTGCCAGTTCGATCCCCAATACCACAAAACACACACACACACACACACCTGCATGCACTTTATATTTCATTAGCTAATAAGCATATTGGTTATATGCTATGGGTTCAGGAAGTGTTTCAGGTTTGAGGTACTGAGAACATATAAATGGAAAGCTTTTATTTGCCAAGATCTTACTTCTATGTAGAGAACATAAAGGAGATTTTTGTGCTGCAGAATTTGGAAGTAGGAGTTATTGTCAGGAAATGGAAAGGTTAGAAAAGGTTTCTTGCACTAGGTATGACTCGATGCAGATTTGGAGTTTAGGCAGGTTTCGATCAATGTAGGGAGATGGCTCAGAAATAAGGGGCAAGGTGATGAAAGGGGCTCTCAGGGAATGTATACACTTGTAGCCTGGCTGAAGTTAAAGCTTGCTGTAGTGAAATAATGAGAGAAGAGACTGGAGAGTTGGGGCCGGTGGCAGGGGTAAGAGTACTAAAAGAGCCAGGAGACATCTGACATGACACATATTAGGATTGTGACCAGAAGACATGCATTTTATAGATACTGCCTCAGTGCAATTGTTGGACTTGGGTGATTAGGTGAATATTTTGAGGTGAGGAAAAGCAAAGACTGAGATATGATACCCATGTTTTTGAGCTGGGAAACCAGAGGAAGGTGATTGTATTTCCCAAAATAGAGGAGTTAGCAGGGAGGGGAGTGTTTTGTGGGGTGGTAAGTGCAAAGCGAAGATAACATTGGCTAGACTAACGGTTCAGCCTTTCTTTGATTATAGAGGTAGCCTTTGACTTCCTCAGCACTGCACATAAAAGCTAGGATTAAATGCTGCACACAATAGGTACTGAGTGGATGTTATTAGTGAAGACAACTAATAGCCACTTTAGATGGGAAACCCTGTTTCTCTTCTCAGATGTTAGGCTCACAGAGCCCTCTATCCTTATCCCTTTCAACTAGACGTACATATTACTTTATCTTCTAATTCCTACTAATTGAAGTGCATCTGTGAAGAATCTGACTTCCTTATTGTTTTGGTTACTTTTCTCTCGTTGCTGAGACAAAACATCTGAGGCCCAAAATGAAGGAAGTAAAGATTTATTTAGCTCACAGTTCTTGGAGATTTTGGTCCATAATCAACTGGCCTCAAGGCAGGGTGGCATGACATAGGGGCAACACAAACATGTAGTTTAAAGAAATCTGGGAATTTACAAAAAACAAAACAAAACAAAACCTTGTTATTTTTCATTTTAAATTCCTCAGAATTTAAATTCTTCACTTATTAAGGAGCAGGAATTTAAATTATTAATAATTAATGATGAAATTAAATTATTAAATTCCTTAATAACAGGAATTTAAATTCCTCACTTATTAAGGAGCAGGCACTTAGTAGGGAGCAACTACACCTCCCTTTAGTAGGGAGTGGGATGCATTCCATGCCACCCAAGGAAGTATGCTCTTTGTCCTAAATCCTAATTCACTGTCTATTCTTAATTTTCATCAATGTGGTGCGTCACCTAACTGTATCTCAGGCCTTCACTAGCTAGATTTTCATAAAGCAACTAAATCTAATTTCTACATTGTGATGAGGGACAACAAAAGATTTACCCTTTCACCCATCTTCTTCACTTTTCTGCCCACTTCCCTTTGAAACAGTGTCTCACTATGCTATTCAGGCTGGCCTCAAACTCTAGGAGATTCTCCTGTCTCAGCCTCTCGAATGCTTAGATTGCAGGCACCTGCTACCATGCCCGGCTTGCTCTAATTTCTGCACAGAGGTTTGATGGGACTGTGTGAGCAACTGACTGGGAGTGAAAGTCCCAGTGGAGCTTGAGATTGGAAGCGCTGGCTGTAACTTAAAGTTGCCGCTTTAAGCATTCTTTTCAGTTTTCATTGTGTAAACTAAACTAAACTAAACTAATCAACGTCAGGGATTTGCCAGGAACTTAGGCAATAACTCATACCCTTGCCTCTTATCACAGCACAGAGTTGTGAGAGCGTAGGGAGAAATTCTCTCTAGCGAAGGGGCAAGGGCCAGCAAGCAAGAAAAACCGCTTTGGTGCTTCTGCGCAGGCGCCCTTCCTGGCGGCGACTGAGCTCTTTCCGCTTCACTTCCGCAGACGTCAGTGGGCGGTGCGGAGGTCGTACCGCGCCTGCGCTGCGCAGCCTAGACCGGAAGCTGAGCGCCGAACGCGAACCTGCGCAAAGATGAAGTAAGGTTTCAGTTTGTCGCTGAGGAAGGGGGAGTGGGCCACAGGGGGTAGCCCGCAAGGGGTTGGGTGGTAGAGTGTCTAATGGGCGAGGGAAGGTAGCGGCTTGGAAACCACAGCATCTCCTTCCCTAGTTTTGCTTTCTTCCCTCAGGCGGGCCTGTCTTACTTGCCCGCTTCTCTGACCCCTGTATAGCCCTTTAACTAAGGTGAAGCTGATTAACGAGCTGAATGAGCGAGAGGTCCAGCTTGGGGTGGCGGAGAAGGTATCCTGGCATTCTGAGTACAAAGACAGCGCCTGGATCTTTCTAGGTAAGGTCCACATCTTTCTCCAGCAGTGCTCCCAAGTCTCTCCTAGACTGCTTCAAGTTATTTGGAGCTCCCGCCCATCATTTCTCCCTACATTTATCACGCACTTTTGTATCCTGTCTGCCCGTGAATCCATCCGCCCCCCCCCGGCCTTTTGGCCTGTTTTAGTGTGCTGTCCCTACCAGTCAGCGCTCCTGGAAGTTACTGTTTGCTGTTCACCATGCTAAGAGTCTCTCTACTTGGTTTCCAGAGACTTGTCATCTCTCTCTCACCCACTCACCCATTATACAGCTAAGGAAAACGAGGTGCAGAGGAGTTAATGGACTTCCCTCGCGTTACACAGCCAAAACTAGGGGGTTGTACAACTCATGGTCTTAGCCACTATCCTGATTACTACAGACTGCCTTTTCCCATCCCTCTTTCCGCAGAATTTATTTTTCTCTTTCACTTAGCTCCTGCTTTCCATTTATGGCCACATTGCTATCCCGATATTCACTTTCACAACCAGTAATTCTGCCATTTGTTTAGAGAGGTTATTGCGCCCATCACATAATGTTATAATTAATTCTTAAATCAGTCCTGAGAAGCAAATATACTAATATCCCCATTTTACAGAGAAGAGGAAAATTTGGAGAAATTATCTCCTATGAAATACTTAACAGTTGTCTTTATGATCTTTAATTTATGTTCAGAGGGAGTTTGTAATAACATAAACTGTTATATTTGTATTTGTCCATAGGAGTTTGGATATGAGGACTGAATAAGATTTCTTTGGTTAGTGGTAAACCCAGCCCTTCTACTCAGTTAACCATTTTTTTGTATATTACTGACATCTTATATGTACTTCTGTCATTGCATCAGACTGATTTCTGTGAGGGCAAGGCTTGTGGCATATTTAGTACTCTCAGTGCACAGTATATGCTAGACATTCAATTAATACTTATTGAATGATAATGTATTTTCTTTTCTAGGAGGGCTTCCTTATGAACTGACTGAAGGAGATGTCATCTGTGTCTTCTCACAGTAAGTTCTGCCAAGCAGCAACACAGACTGGAATCCAAAAACCAATGCAGCACTTTTTCCCAGGACAAACTTCCAAAGCCTGATCTTTACCTGCAGGATTTCTATGTCTTCTGGTCTTTTGAGCTCTAACCAGAATCTCCCATACAAAACAGCGTAAGACATTCCAGCTCTTCTCTTTCAGCTAGTAGCTCTGAACTTTTCCAAACTTCCCACAAGCCGTTGGCGAAGGCTCTTAAACCACATGGTCAATCATAGCAGCAAGCCCACTTCTCTGGTACCAAATTCTGTATTGGTTACTTTTCTCTCACTGCTTTGACAAAATACCCAACACCCAAAATTCAGGAAGTAAAGGTTTATTTAGCTACTGTTTGTGGAGGTTTCAGTTCATAATCGACTGGCTCCAAGGCAGGGTGGTGTGGCACAAAGGGAAACTGTTCAGGGCAACACAAGACACCAAAAGAAGGATAGCAAGCCTCTTTTCCTCCCTTACATTAAAAGCAAGCTACCCAACACCAGGGTGGATGTAACACCCATACCATCCCTTTGCCCATCTCTTGCACAGGATGAGGATATTTACAATGTGAGCACCCTGGCATCCTGCTGAGACATTTAATTAAACTTCTAAACTTCTTAAATTAACACAATGCATTGATGGATGTATCATTACACCAGATGTCCTGGAAATTTCCTTTATAGCAAAAGAAAAAAACTGCTTTCTGGTCCTTTAACTGTGATATAAATATTTTTCTCCTAGTTGGTGATTTATATTCTGACTTGGTTTATTGGGATTTCTTTGCTGAGCAAAGTTTTAAAAAATTTTTATTCATATATTTTAGTAGGTAAAATTGAACTTCTTAGGGGAGTATATAGCTCTATGAGTTGTAATTCTTGTATAGATTTGTCTAATCACCACCACAATTAGAGTGAAAAACAGTTCTGTTACCCCCAAACTCCCTTATGCTTGCTCTTTATAGTTTCCCCTCAGTATTTTATTTTTATGTGCGTCTATTTATCTTTCATTGCTTCTAGATTTTGAGTTATGATTAGAGGATATTTTTCCCTATCTACCCATTTGTATTCTTGTACCTGTATGACTTCAGTTTTGTACATTGAAGTCTCTAATCTATTCTGTTGTACATTGTAAGGCTTGGATCCAGTTTTATAGTTTTTTGTTTTGTTTTGTTCTTTTGTTTTTTTCAGACAGGTTCCTGTTGATGTAGTTCAGGCTGGCCTTGAGCTTACTGTGTAGCCCATGGCGGCCTTGAAGTTGCAGCTAGGGTCAGGGGTCAGCTCTCCCTCAGCCTCAGGCCTGTGCCACCATGCCTGGTTTATAATTCTCCAAATGGCTATCCAGTTGCCCTAACTACGTGCCAACTTTATCATACACTAAATTTTTTCCTACATACAGTACTTCAGTTTCTCAGCATTTTGTTCTGTTAGTCAGTCATTTTATTTGTCAGTACCACACTAGTTATTTAGAGAAGTTTTTCAGTATATTTAATATTGTATATGGTAGAATTATACTTACTATTCTTTATTAAGTTTTCCCAGAGATTTCTACATGTTCATTTTTTCTACAAAAATTTAGAATCAACTTACTTAGCTCCAGGAGAAAAACAAACATTTTTATTAGGGCTATATTAAATTTATTTATTAACTTGTGGGAAGATCTTGCTATCTTTATGATACTGAGTTACCCAATCCAAGAACAAGTGATGTCTTTATATTTGTTCAAATTTATGTTTGTGTCTTTCAGGAGTTTTAAAAATGCTTACTATATATAGAGTTTATACATTGCTTGTTGTTAAGTCCATTTCTAAACATGTTATCTTTTTTGTTGCTATTTTGAATAGGATTTTCCTTCTATTATAGCTTTTGCTTATTTTTTGTATGTAAGAGGGTATTGATTTTTAACTATGTCCTTTATTAAATTTTTAGTTTGTTTTTATTAATGTTTTTAAACAATAAAATTCGTGGTTGTGTTGGCACACATCTATGATTCCAGTATTCTGGGAGACTGAGGGAGAAGGATGGCAAAGTGCCAGTCCAGCCTGCATAATTTATTGACTTAGTAAGACCCTGTCTCAAAATTTAAAAAAAAGGACTGGGGATGTAGTTTAGTGAAAAGCTCTGGATTTATTCCTCAATACCCGCCCCCCCATACACAAAGCAAAAACAAAATCAAAACCAAAACGAACAAAAAACAATAAAATTGCTTATTTTTGTACAGAGACCTGAATTCAGGATCTTGTGCTTGCCAGGAAGACACTGTGCCGCTGAGCCATATCCCTGGCCCTGAAATTCTTTAAAGTTACTGATTTTTCTGAGTATGGCTTCAGTCAGTCACCTCTCATAAATTTTCCTATATGTTTTTCTGATTTTTGTTCTGAGTAGTCTGCCATCAATTTTTTTGTTTATTTTGTTTCATTGTTTCATCTAGTTGTTAGCAGGGAGAGTAGATTTCCAGTTCTAGTTAGGAGGGTGTTTTTTGTTTCAAATATTATTTTCAGCTTTATAACATAATTTGAGAACATAGTTTTTTCAATTGGAGGGTTTATTAAGATTTACTTTGAGACATAATCATAATGTATAGTCAGTTTTAATGTTTTCTGAATTCTTCAAAAGAGATACTTATATCCTTGTAGGGTTAACAGTATTAATATTTTTTTTTATTTAAGGAGAAAAAAAACCAGTAAAAGGGTAAAAGTTATACAGAATTTCAGAAAAAATAAACAGTAGGAAATCACTAGTTAATAGATTACATATTGTTATCTTAGGAATAGTTGTTCAAGTTACAAAATTAAAGCATATAAAGTGGACTTTCAAACAGTGAGACTGGAAACAGTTTTTTTCAGTGATCCAACAAAACTCAGTAATATGGTTATCTGTCTTATACACTTAAATATATATGCAGTTATATTCTTTAGAGCACTTTCTTTTCCTTTTTTTTTTGTACAATGACAATTACACATTTTGGGTTTTATTACTCCCACAGTTCTTATCACTTTTTTTGAAGAGAGTAAAACCAAATGTGACATAACAGAGCAGAGTCAGTCAAATCAAAAAGATGGATATAATAGATAATGTAAAAACAAAATACTAGGTGATCAACAATGGTTACCATACTGCCTCTTGCTATCTTAAAAAGAATTCCCTATATCATCAGTTATAATAAAATTGAACAAAATAGTAAAGAATAAAACCAAAACATTGGAGACATTACAGGACTTTAAAAGAAGATAATAGTCAACCGGAATGGGCGTCATAATGAATCTTATTGTCTTCACAGTTTTGCCTATACTTTTGAACTTGGTACTATCAAGCAAAGCAGAATAGAGGAAAATCAGTCAAAGCAAGATGGTGAGGGCTATACAGGGTTTCAAATCAAGTTACTATAATGTATTCTGCAATTTTTTTAAATTTTTCCCTTAATTAAAAAGATAAAAATAAAAAGTAAATAATTAAAAAAGGAGATTTAGATAAAAGAGGGCATAACAACAAAACAGCGCAGGTCAAAGCATAACCATTTAAGCAAAATAGTGTTTCATCACAAGATATCCTGACATAAAAGTAGTTATCATAGTGTCTCTTTCCTTGAAATCTTTGAGTATAACTTTGTATACTGTAGCACCAAACATATCAAGACAATGTAAAACCATTGAAGAGAATGACAGTATTACAGGGTATTTAGAACCAACTATCAGAAAATGAACAATGGTTTCTGTATAATCTCCTTGTCTATAAAAGTTTTTGCTTATATTATCACATATAATAAAATCCAGTAAGATACAACCTGTTAAGACCGATGGAGACCGAAGAATAAAAGCTTGATGGGACTTCAAAGCAAGATGATACTAAATCAGCACCAACTATTATGATGTCTTGTTTTCTCCAAAATAGCTGTTCCTACCATCCAATCTTCTCTGCCTCATTTCTGTTGAGCTCTTTTTCTGTCGTTTGTTGTCAGTTTGTCTTCTTCATTTTGCTTTCTGCTCCATTCATTGTGGCCTCTCTGCCACTGTTTCTGGAGTCTTGGTATTTTCCTTTTTTAGAATATCCTGCAGTGGGGCTGGGGATTTAGCTCAGCGGCATAAGCGCCTGCCTTGCAAGCAGGCAGTCATGAGTTTGATCCCTGGTACCGATAAAAACGAAAACGAAAAAGACCAAAAAAAATTTTAAAAAAAGAATATCCTGCAGTATTCTCTGTAGAGTTAAATTGGTGGTTGCAAATTCCCCTAGTTCCTCTTTATCTTGGAAGCACCTTGTTTTTCCGTCAATTTCTAGGGACAGTTGTGTAGGATATATCAATGTTGGTTGGAGGTTGTTATCTTTCAAAGCTTGAATTATTTCCCCCCACGCTCTTCGTGATTTGATGGTTTGTGCCGAGAAGTCTGCTGTAATTCTGATGGGTGTTCCCTTGTAAGTGATCTGTTTCTTGTCTCTGACAGCTTTTAGTATTCTGTTCTTATATTGGATTTCTGGAATTTTGATTATTATATGTCTGGGTGTAGCTCTGTTTGGGTTGTAGTTGGCTGGGGTCCTGTATGCCTCATCCATCTGAGTATCTTTACCTTTTGCTAAATTAGGGAAATTCTCTTGGATTATTTCTGTGAATAGCTTTTGTAGTCCATTTGTTTGTGTCTTTTATGTTCTTAATTCTTAAGTTATAGATCCTTTTATCGTCTTCTAGCCTTTGTATTATTACTGTTTGTTTTCTTATTTTTAAGAAGTTTTTCATTTCATGCTCCCACATTACAAATCTGCCCTCCAGTTCAGATAACCTATCCTTAGTTTCTTTCAAGCTGTTATGCCAGCTTTCGATAGAGTTTTTAGTTTGTTGGTAATCTCTTTGAACCTGCTTCACGTATTCTATGTTTTCTCTATTTTCTCCATCAAACAATTCTCCCCTTTTTTTCTGTTCTTCCATTCCACCATCTGTTCTTTCTTGGGCGGTGTTTAGCATTTCTCTTTACTTATATCTTGCTTTATTTATTAAATACTTCATTTTTAAACTCATCTAAGAGGCTCTGGAGATAGCGCTTTATGTTTATTGGTGCCATGTCTGATGTTACATGTTTTCTGTCTTTCTTTGCGTTTCCCTTTCCTGGATCAGTGTTCTCAGGCTTGGGGACTGAGGACCCTTTCTTGTTGCTTCCTCTTCCCATACTTTTTGTTCCTTCCTACAAGCGAATGTAGGAGGCCCGATTTTTTTCTCTTTATCGGTTACAGTTTGTTTGAATTGCGCAGGCTAGGTGTTCCTGCCCACTGCAGTGTACTAGGCAGACACAGACCTGGGCAGCCTCTGCTGGGCCCACCCCTCCATCTCAACGTACCAAAGGCTTCACTGCTAGAGTGCACCTTCAGGCGCTGGGACCTGGTTTAGGCTAGCCTACTGGGTCTTAGTCAGCGGCGTCATGCAGGCCAGGCACGCCCCACCAATCCCGCTTGAGAGGGGAATATGCGACTAATGTCACTGCAGAGTCCTTTTCCAGCAAGTCTGCCCGGTCCCAGTATGTCCTTTGCTGGAGCCTCCTACTCTGTGAAAGGGTCCCCGTCCACTCACTCGCTGCAAGTCAATGTAGGGTTCCCTGCTAGTCCCGCTCTCAACTCCATTCACAGATTCCCACTCTCAGAGCTTTCATGCGTCTCTCTCCCTGCCCAGCAGATTTGGACGCAGCAGTGGCAGCAGGAAAGTCAAATCGCAGCTTCCAGTGGCACAGGTTCCAGCTTCCGTGCTGAGATTTTATCTGTTCCTGTTATAGCACCAGGATTGGATTTCCAGTTAGTTTCTCTTAGCTTAGTTCATTCCTGAGTCGGCAGGGTGTATCTCCCCTTGCTTAGGACTCCTCTTACCGCACCATTCCTGAATTTTAAGTGGGGTATCTCAGAGAGCCTCTGTAGCTGCCGCTATCTGTCTGCCATATTCTTCCAGAAGTCCCAGTATCAGTATATTTACTAATGTGACAATATTTGTGTTAATAAAATTATTTATTTTATATTTTATAAGTTTATCTTTCTATGGTCTTATTTCTGAGTGTCAAGTTACCTCATACTATTTCTCTTCATATTTCTAATAGTGTTTTTAATTAAAAGTTTTGATTTCTTAACTGTAACGAAGGTTCATGAATTATGCCCTTTTATGTATTAGAACCTTTTTTAGTGTAAAATAATTCTCTTAGTCCCACTTAATATTTTTAATTTTGCCATGAATGTATCCCCTGTATGCTCACAAACTGGGAATTGAATGGAGGACCTTTGCTCTGAGCTATATCCCCAGATTCCTAGTCCTCTTTTTTTCTTTGGTGCTGAGAATTGAACTCACAACCTTGTGCTTACAAGTCAGGAGCTGTGCACTGTGCTGCTGAGTTATATCCTGTCCCCCCACCCAACCATTTTTGGTACTGAAAATCAAACTTGTGCTTACCAGGCCTCCCCGTCCTTTTTTAAAATTTTAATTTTTTATTTTGAGAGAGGGTCTGGCTAAATTGCCCAGGCTGGGCTCAAACCTGTGATCCTCCTGCCTTAGGCTTGAAGTTGTTTTTGTTCTTAATGTTGTTTTTGCTGATTTAGTTTTTTTAGTTTCAACTTTTCTATGTTATTTTGTTCTGGAAGAGTCTTCTGTATAGACTTTGTTATTTGAATATTTATCATCCAATCTGAAAGTTTGTACAATTTAAATCATTTGTGTCTTTTTAATAAAATAGGTATGGGGAAATTGTTAATATTAATCTTGTACGAGATAAGAAAACTGGGAAATCCAAAGGATTCTGTTTCCTCTGTTATGAAGACCAGAGAAGCACAATTCTGGCCGTTGACAATTTTAATGGAATTAAGGTAAGTGTGTTTATAATGCAGAATTTGGCTAGCCTTTTCCTGTGCATAGGAGTTAGGTCTTCCCAGGTGTAGGGACAGTGCTGATCATGGGTGTGGTGTGAGGCCTGCAGAGATATGGAGATAAACGCATTGGGAAATGATTCCAGAAAATAATTCAGTTTCCTTATGGGCTTTCCTGGGTTTGTTTCTTTTCCTCATCTGTTATCAAACCATCTTCCCAGAGTACCTTTCTCCCCACCTACCATGCAGGCCTCCATTTTTTACCTTTCCCTTTTCCATTCACATCTCTAGTGTACTAGGGAATGAAGAGACTAGCAAATACCTCTCTTCTATTTTGTCCTATGCCAGGCAACCTAGGAATTCAGTGGCCTTGTGAGTTAGGACATAGCCATGTGTGTCTGTTGTGTCATTCCTGTGACGTAGCATATTGAGCCCTGGAAATTCTCTAAAATCATCAGAGACAAATTCTACAAAAGTAAGTCATTCTCAAATTTTAAGGGAGCCAGCAGTTAATAGTCAAAGAAAAAATATTTTTCAAAAAGGAATAGGGTAGATGACAGAAGTTTCTCAGGTTTAAAAAAGGTAAGAATAAAAATTTAGTTTTGCATTGGGACAATAACAACTAAACATTTCAGATTTCAGATGGGTTTGCCTATGGAGTAAGTCTGTATCTACTTGCAAATATTTATGTGAAGGGTTAATTTTGTTGTTTACTTGGAGAATCGCAGTTTACAGGTAGGAATCAGTTTGAACTATGTACCAGTATGGTGGGGGTAGAGCAAACTGCGAGGAGTTTAGAAAAAAGAAAGTAATCTGTTTTCAACCCACCCCCCAACTGTTGGTCTCACATTGCCTTTTCCTAATTACTGTCTTGAAAAAGCAGCTGTAACTGAGGCAGATTTCAGGAATTCTGTGTAGATGTCAGATTTTTCTAGGGCATATTTTACTGTAAACTGTTACAGGTTGAGGGTAATTCATTGTTTTTGCTTCTAAATTATCAATCTGTCTTGATCCTTGTATTTGAGAGTAGTCCTTCCCAGATTTTTTAACTTCATGGCACACACACAGCCTGTTGGTATTTGCATGGCCCCACCTGACTGCCTTGAATGTATTAATAGCTAGATATGTATCCTTTGACACACCAGGTGAGCAGGTCTGCTTTACTGGTTTCCAGAGAAACAGCATGGAGATAATGGATATGGTTCAAACTATGGTTCTCCATAGCTTGGGTTCGGATAGCTTGATGTGAGGATTCTCTTTGCTGAAGGGTTGCCCATCTTCCTTAGATTAAAGGGAGAACTATCCGCGTGGACCATGTGTCCAACTATCGGGCTCCTAAGGAATCAGATGAAATGGATGATGTGACCAGACAGCTCCAGGAGAAGGGCTGTGGGGCTCACACACCCCCACCAAGTTCGTCTGAGGGCTCTGAAGATGACAAACCCACAAAGAGTAAAAAAGGTAAAGTGTTACTATTCAAGAGGCGATTCCAGGCAGTCTTAGTATCTACCCTTCCTAGTATTCATGCATACTATTGATGATCAACTCGTAAGTGCAAAAGGGGAAGATGCGGGGGTCCTTCTTTTAAATGGGAGAGGGAGATGTCAGGAAAGACTAGTAGTTTAGGTAGAAGTATGTCCCCTGAAATTGATACGTTTAAATTTTTAATACCCACTGTCTCAGAAGGTATTTGGAGATAGGATCTTTAGAGAAGTAATTCAGGGTGGGGATTGCCTTGTGTACTGACTTAACATGCCAGAGCTGATGGACACTCAAGTTGGCTTCTCAGAGGCCTGTGACCATGTCACACTGCTGCTGGGGCTGTTTTCCTCATGCATATTTTCTATCTGCTAGCATGAGAACATTTTGAATTATGACACCTTGGTTTGACATGATGTACTCAGAGAAGAAAGGTACTTTTTAGGCAATTCTTTTTGTTGTTTGCTTATTTCTTGCCCTCTTTGTGTTTCCAGACAAAAAAGAAAAAAAGAAAAAAAAGAAAGAGAAGACTAACCAGGAGGAACAGGCAAGGCAACCACCTTCCTCTTCACCTCCCAGAAGCAGAATGGTAAAGGAAAAGGATGACTTTGGCCCTAAGAAGTATAGCAGCAAGACCCTGGAGAGAGAGAGGGTTCAGAATCCGGAGTCCAGAGTGGGGAGGAAGCAGTACCCAGGCTCCCTTGAGGTCAGCACTTCCTGCCATGGTAGAGCAGAGGACCCAGAGAAAGTGCCAAGAAAGGAGAAACTGAGGCATGAGCACAAGTTCTCGAGCAGGAGGGAAGTGAGAGAAGACAAGAACAGGGATCGAGACAGAGGGCGAAGCTCAGATACACATTCCAGCCGGCGCAGCGGGTATTCTGAAGGGCACAGACATAGAAGTAGAAGTAGGAGTCGAGGTAAATCCCATACACATAGAAAGGTCCATCACTCTCAGGATCGGGAGGAGCAGGAGCGAGAGCGAGAATCCTCTAATCCCAGAGACCGCAGGCGTCACTGAAGTCTCCTTTACCTGCCCAGTTGATTTAAATATGTAAGGAAGTTCAGTGCTGCTGTTAATATTTCTATATATAATGAATTCTTTTAATCTCATGCATAGATTCATTGAGAGAGCTGTAGTTTCAACAGCCATACATCTGAATTTTTTTTTTACTCTGAGCAGTTGTCCCTGGGAATACCCCGGGAACTTTAGAGTATGTGTCCTAAATTCTGGTTTGTAAACATGGCACTTGAACCCATAGACCCTAGTTTTAGATGAAATTACCAGGAAAGGGAAAACACTAGAATTCTAGTCTTTATGTTAGATGTTTAGAACTGAACAATAGAACCTTTCCAGTTAGTAAGGAAGTGTGGCTTACTAGGTTCAGGTTCTTTCATGTGGCTGTGATAAGATCTTAAGAACAGCCAGTTCCCAACCCTTTTGAAAACAGTTTTTTATTAAAAATAAAAGGCAGAATGAAACCAAAAACAAATAGAAGAAAATAATAAAGACCAGAAAATGCAATCCCTTGTCAATCTGTCAGCATCATTTTTCATATAGATTACATTTTGATTCTTACATTTCTGTAAAAATACAAAAGACTCAGAATAGTCTAAATAACTTTGATAAAGGAACAAAACTAAAGCTTTAACCCACCGCAGTCCCACAACTTAGCACAAAGTTACACCAATGATGAGAAAACTGCATTGATACAAAGATAGACAAACTACCAGAGTACCAGTGTAAAATCCAAAAATAGATACCCACATAACAGACAATTGATTTCTGGCAAAGTTGTAAAAGCAATTAAGTGGAGAAAGGATTGTACCCTCAAATATACTGGAAGAGCTGGATATCCACATGCAGAAAAAAGTATAGCACATCAAAAATTTCTTAAAACATTCAAAAGTCAACTCAAAATGGCTCACAGTGGGTTAAAGTGAAGGCAGGTATGGCCTGAGTCATTGGCTGAAGTCATTCTGGGACAAAATTGAAAACAGTTTCTAAATGTTTTTTTTTTCATATTGTGTGTGTGTGTGTGTGTGTGTGTGTGTGTGTGTGTGTGTGTGTATTTTGTTTCTGGTTGATATATTTGCATTTTTACTTTTGGTTTATTTATTGATGTGAAATTTGTCTAAATAAAAGTAACCATTTTAATCAATTCAGTGGTATTTGTTTTGTCAATAGTATAAAATCACCACCTCCATCTAGTTCCAAAACATTACATCATTCCCACCTTATGCCCATTAAGCAATAACTCCCCATTCCCTCTATCAATCTGCTTTTGTTTTCATGATTTACTTATTCTGGGCATTTAAGTGAAACCCTACAATAGTGGCCTTTTGTGTCTAGTTCTTTCACATAGTAGAATGTTTTCAGTGTTAAGCCACATTGTGACATGTGTCAATACTTTATTCCTTTTTATGAGCACGTAACATCTGCATTGTACACCAGAAAGTGGTGCCCTGGATTATGAACTTGATTTATGATTTTGGAAGAGATGTCTGCATCTGTGTTTGTGTAGGGAAAATAGATGGCTGTGGTTGTGTTTGTCACCCAATGCAGTTTGTGAATGGGGAAGCAAAATTTCCCTGAACGCTTTTGTTTATGAATCAAATTGTGAACAGAAGCATTTGTCATCCGGGGTATTACTATGCTGCATTTTGTTGATAGGTGGACATTTGAGTTGTTTACACCTTTAAGGCAGAAAGAGGAAAAGTCGTACTGTGTAATCCAGTTCTAAGTCTGGTTCAGCAAAGCAAATGTGCCTGTTGGGAGAGGCAGTGCATGCTGGGCCGTGAGCGCCCTCTCATGTTCTTTGTGAGTGTCTTAAACTGCAAGACTCATCTGTTTCCTAATACTGAGCTATTACAGAGTCAAACAGCAGCGAAGTAGGGCCAGGAGACCCGTGTGACTGCTATTTAGCTATTCACTTCCCAGGGTGAAGCCACTGGCTCATTGCCTGAGAAGTTCCAGGCTCTTGACCCCAGATTCCTCAGCTTCGGTGCAGCTCCTACCCATGTAGCATACATCTGAACCTGTTGCGTTGCTGTGGGACTTGGGGGCAGGAAAGCTGAAGAAACTATGTGGATGCCAAAATTTGCTATGCTAAAATAAACTGACTTGTTCTAACCCATGCAGACTGTCTACTTTCTATATTTGGAAAACAAATGGCAAGTTTACTCTGCCATCCTTTGTGAGGTTTGGAATCTTCTCTGGCCCAAAGTTGCCTGTTAAGGGAGTCCCATGTCTTGCAGAAATGGTCTGCCTTAGTGACTACTACACTGAGAGATGCCCATGGGAAGTCTGGGCTTGTTGAAGATGCAGTGATACGTGCTGGTTTTCAGCCTTGTTGGATTTCGGCTATAGCTCAGAAGGGTTGGATTGCAGAGTTCAACAGCTATGGCCAGCAATCATGCTGTCTGTAGTGAGAGATCCTGGAGGCACTGATACAATCTACAGTAGGTCCAGCCTGAGACAAGCCATTAACCTTTGGCTTTTGTTAACCTTTGGGAACAGTGAATGTTTCCTTGTTTATTTCATAGGTACACTTCATAGAGAGCAGTTTGAGTTCATTGGCGGCTAATTTCCAGTGACCTGAAAATAAACAGCTACATGGAATGAAATACAAAGATTGCTTTTTTTTTTTTAGTTCTTAGCATACCTGATTTATTGATGGGGCCTAATTACTGCATGAGTCTGTCTGTTCTGCTTCCTCTAACCTACTGGAGCACTTACCTTGTAAATACCTGTCTTGGCAATTTATGAACTCATTGACTCTTAAATTGTCAGTCATCCTTATCTGGTACAGACCGTCCCTTCTGTAAACATGTTTTGAAGCTCTTAGAAAGGAATAACCTGATCATCATCTAAATGATGTTTTAGTGAAGTGTAAACAGCTCTGCACGGCTGTTATGACCAAAGAGTAAGTCTTGATGCTTCCTGATATTTCATCTGAAAATGTAAACTGAGAAGACATAATTTTGGGTGTGATTATTTGCACTATGAAGGATTTAACCTATACTTTTTCCTTTACTAAATAAGTGACTCCTGACTTCTGCAAGTGTTACTGGAAACTGCACTGTAAAAGAGATGATAAAAATAGGCTCTATTTCTTTCAGTAGGAAATAATCAACAGTTACATTTGTGATAAGCATTGGGCATCAATATATTAAGCATGACGAGTAGTATATCATCCAAGATATACTGATCCCCGAATGAATCACTAAAAATAAGCCTTTAAGGCTTTCATTCTTGTGTTTTGATTGCTTTTATACTATTTTGATGTGTATTAACTTATTGTGTGTGAAGGTATGGACAATTATTTTGAAGAAAATTAGGCATATTATGGTAGCCACTGTTGATTTCCGGCTGCCTTTTTCTGAAATCCTGTATTACTTGCATTGTTTTACTCTGTTTTACTTTGTTCTGTTTTGGTTTGCTTTGTTTTGTTTTATTCTCTTTAAAGAAACGCTGAAATCATATACCAGGTTCTCTAAAGGGCTAAAACCTTATGACACATGCTAATTATGTTACTATAAGGCATTTGTCAAACAGATGTGGAACTGTTGTATATTTAATCTCAAGCCAGTATGCTCTCTATAAGGAATATCGGAAAAAATTGGGTAGTTTTTACCAGCTTAGAATTTAGAAAGGTATTTTGGGAGTGATTGAAGATGATCTACCTTTTTTAAAGAAGCTGTTTAAAGAAGTGTTATGATAATGCTTTCTTTTCTCTTGTGCCACATGAGCAGCTGACTCATTTGATACCCATTTCACTTCAGATTTGGATTATAATTTGCTTAAATGGTGTTGGTGATTATGATTGTCAAGAGGAAAGCGGTTATTGTCAAGCAACTAGCAACAATAACAAACACTCCATATTAAAATCCCTAAGTGTTTAGATTTTTATTAGCATATTATACTACATAATTGGTAAAATTTACTATCGTAATGATGAGTGCACACCTGACTTTGTATACTGTTTTTCACTTATATGTGCATTTCTATGTATTCATGTTGTCATGCTATGACCATATAGCATTCTTTCCTAGTATACAATACCAGTCTCCTACTTTAATTGTTTTAATTTTTCATTGTAATAAAAGTTATTTTTATGGAGGTTTTTATATAGTCCTTTAAAATTTTTCCTTTCCTTTTTAAGGTTTCTGTGGACTATGTTCCCTAAAATGGGGTGACCAGCTCCAAAATTACAGATCCATAGCTTGCCTTATTGTCATATTACTTTTCAGAAATACCAAATTTGTAGAACTGTCAGCACTATAGAGCTCCAGTGTGATTTTTTTCAACCATTGTGGGGAGCCTTGGATTGTATAATTTTATTCCTTTTTTTCCTCTGAAAGGTATATTTTGATACCTTCAGGTTAATCTAATTTGTATTTGCTTTCTTTGCAGGCCAGCTGTGCATTGTTACTTACAGTGCTTTAGTGTAGTCCTTTGTATTTAAATGGTACTTTTTTGTGGGGCCAGGGGTCAGACCTGGGGCCTCAGGCATGCTAAGCAAGTGCTCTCCCAGTAAGCTATATCTCCAGGCCCTGACTTGCATTTTTAATATATTTTGGTGAACAGGATTTGAATAGCTGCAGTAAGTACATTTCCTCCTTATTCAGTTGCTCACCTTTGGATATTTGTTTATTATGGAAAAAGCATTTTGTAAAGGAGGGCTGGCTGACTTTATTCAAAGCTATAATTATGCAAGTAGAAACAAGTGCCACCAGGGTATAGTGGCTGTCAAAGAATACTTATGTTGTCTATCTCATCCCATTCTCTATTCCTTGCCTGTTTTCTGGACAGATGTTAATATACTTTTTATTCCACTGACTGTCTTAGCAAGGATACTCAATCCATTAGCCATAGAGGTTGCTTCTGGAGAACAGAGTAGCATCTGGCTGAGGGAACTTTGATGGGAAAAGGGTTACTTTTCACTGTATCTTTTTGTACTTTGAGGTTTTGTACTGGGTGACTGTTACTAATAAAAATGAATTAATGCCATATAGAAGATCAGTGTCATTATTGTGTGCCTTTATTAAAAATGAGTTTATAAGTTATGCTGCTGCATGTAATGAACTTCAGTGTGTGAGGGCAGGTAGGAGTATGTGAACAGATGAAGACAGTCAAATTTGGAGGTAGGTGATAATTGGGTGACAGAGATGCCTGCCACTTTATTTACTAAAGTTCAGTTCACCTAACATTTATAGAATGCAGGTACAGCACAAAGAAAATTTACTCACCTACAACATTACCCTGAGGCATTTTAGATAAGGCTGGGATGTTCCTCTGACCTGGCTTGTTGGATAAAAGGCTCTGAGAATAGCTGGTTGAGTTTTCATTCTCATGTTTCCTGAGTGGCTGGAGGGAGGCCAGAACAGTTTCAGCACCAGAGTGGTGGTTTTGTGCTGAGTGGTGGAAGCCATTCCTAGCTAAGCAATGTTCGAGGTCCCCTGGAGAACGCAGGTTCTGGTTTTCTCTTTGTGATTACTTGACTTGGGTGTTTTAGATGGGGCCTATCTTTTTTCATTAATTGTATTTTGGCAATTATGGGATAAGAGGTATGGCTCAAAAACCCAAATTTGCACTGGGTGTGGTGGTGTGCACCTATAATCCCAGCACTCAGGACCCGCTGAGGCAGAAGGATCACTTTGAGTTCAAGGCCAGCCTGGGCTACAAAGTGAGCTCTAGGCCAGCATGAACTGCATAGTGAAATCCTGTCTCAAAAAGACAAGCAAATAAAAAATAATTCAAGCTTTCCCCTGGTTATGTGATCGGTATACATGTTTTAAATGGGCCAAGAGTATGCTTGGAGAATTCAAAACCACTCTGAAGAGTTACATGTGTGCACTGACTTAGATGTTTGGGGATAGACCTTGGAAATGAACTTTCAGGGAACCCCTCACCTTACTTGAATTGGCTTGTACCCATGAAGCCATGGATTGGCTAGATCTTCATTGTAAAATGAGAGAGCCACTAGGTGCATGTAGCTATTAAAATTGAAATAAAAACGTTATATTTGCTTAATTGCACAAATGACTCAGTAGGCAAATGTGGCTTGTGACTGTTAGATTAGACTCCATATGTAGACCAATGCCACCATCACAGAACAGCCTGTTAGCACTGAACTGGGTTGTTCAGATGTGGCACAAT